CACTGACGGCGACAACACACCCAACGTCGATGTTGACAGTTCAGCTACTGAGAACGGTGAATGTGCATCAAGCAAAGAGTGGGACATAGCAGCAACGGACGAAGGAGAGAACATGGCCAAGGGCGAGTGTGACTGCCCAGAGAACGCCGAAAGCGAAAGCCCAATGACCGCCAAGAACGACAGTCCAGCGACAGCCGACGACAACAGCCCAGAGACAGTCGTCGGAGAGGGACCATGCAATGGCGAGGGTGACGGCCCAGGGATAGCCGAGGACCACAGCCTAGGCAAAAACGACAGCGAAAGCCCACTGACCAGCGATGGCGACAGCACAGTCAACGACGAGTGTGACAACCCAGGGACAGCCGACGGCAAGGGAACATCGAAAGTCGATGGCCACAACACACCCAATGGCAGCGAGGGACCACGGTCATGGCATAGAAACCCGCGAAGGGGACATAGCAAACGAAAATTACGGGAAAATCGGAAACGCAGACGCCGGCGATAGCTCAGACACCGGCGAAAGGGACTGTGTCAGAGTCTGGTGCTATCCTAGAAATTGCTGGGACTGAGGCAAACCACGACAAATTTCTGTCAGGTTAGCCGACACTGTGAAGACACAGTATGTTTTCTATAGTGTAGGAACTGAATTTTTATGTACGTTTGCATTAGTTTAATGTTTGAAGAAGCACACAATAAATATATATCATATAATTCCGAGAATGTATTTATCTGATCATGTTTACATTAGTCAGTGCCACGCAAATTCTGAGAAAGCTCTCAGAGTGACAGATGTAAAACAGGGAGCTATGTCAACGCAGTTGGTCTGCCTTCAGCGGAATCCGCAAATCCACCTCCTGCCAATGACAGCACACCACACGCGTGATAAGCGCCTTTATGAAGCAATGAGTCTAAACAACACAACATGTTTCGAAATAAACTCACAAACTGGTGCAACACATACGAAGCCTCTTTGCCACGAATGTGCATACGGAGCATGAGAGCATATCCACATATTACAGATCTCATCTTCAGATTAACCCTTCAACTCCAGGGTATTTAAATTCGTAATCGCTTTTCCGTGACGGAGGATATTTAAATGCCCTCCACTCCAGTAGGATTAACGTTGTTGTCGTGTTAGTAAAAATGCTGTAACTTATACAATTTTTGTGATAAACGATCGAAAGTAACGTTCCTTTTATCTAGAAAGAATATGGAATCCGACATTGTAATTTACAGATTTTAAAATTATTTTTGGCATAGTATGCTTATAAAAATTATGAATAGTATCGAATTACCTTAGAAATTCAGCTTGGTGTGGTAGTCGCGAAAACACTCAATGCAGAGTCCCACGTCACATGCTTCGCACCCGTACACCGTTTCCTTCTTCTTCCCATGTTTTGTGCAGACAACACACCGCCTCTGTGGCCTTGCTTTGGTTAACCTCGGTGGAATTCTACTTATAAAGTGTCGTTCTGTCAAACGGGGCACACCGTTGTCCGATTCATGTCGACCCGGCATTTTGTGTTCAACGGCACTCGCGTATTTCACGAAAAGTCCCTCAACCAACTAAATTCTGAATGACAACTGATCTATATTTTTGCCTGTGTTACTCTTATATATTATCAGCGCATTTACAACTGAGGTGTTCAGGAGCCTAGGAAATAGCTTCATATACCACTTGTTCATTTTTTTCCTCTCAATGAAATAGGAGTGGAGGAGTTTGTCCTTCAAATCAACACCTATCATTGACTTATTGTAGTCCAACACTGAAACAGGCTTCACTACTTCTTTGCCTCTGATTGTCACAGTCCTGGTGTCGTGACTATGGTAGGTGGAGATCATAGTCACGTTTTTTTTTGTTGTGCCATTTTGTGATGGAAACAGGTCCACAGTGCTGTGCCACGATTTCGCCTTTTTTGAGTTTTGTGTTTTTCATTTGCGGTGGCACATTCTTGCAGTTCAAATTGAGGGTCCCAATCGGTCTTGTATGTGTTTTTCAGTGTTCTGGCTAGAAACGGTGAATTATAATAATTGTCCATCCAGACAGTCCGGCCTTGTTTCAGCAGGGGTTCTACGAGTTGCAGAACAATAGATGTTGGTTTATTCATTTCAGGTGTGAGCAATGGGGAGTCCAGTTCTGTATCTTTTCCTGTATATACCAGGAAGGACCATAAATAGCCCGTGGTGGAGTCACAGAGTTCATAAGTTTTTATTGCAAATTTTGAAGCCTTTAGAGGGAGGTATTGTTTGAAAGACAGATGGCCTTTCCAAAGTGTTAATGATTCGTCAACTGAAATATTTTGGCTTGGAAGATAGAGTTCCTGGAACTTTTTGTTGAGATGTGAAATTAACGGGAAAATTCTGAAAAGTTTTTGTGGGCCTTGATAAGTGCTCATGGTCTCGTTGTCAACAAAATGCAGAAGTTTACAGATTAGTTCTAATCTGTTCCGACTAATAATGTCTCTAAACCCTGGTGTGGACATTATTCATCTTGTTGAAAAGTACGATCTAAGGGTAGGTTTCTGAATAATGCCCATTAGCATAAACAGACCCAGTAGAACATAAATCTCTCCCTCAGTCACAGGCTTCCATGCCCTAGCCGGCAATCTCACAGGCAGATCACGCCCACGTAGGAACTGCTCTGCATATCTGTTTGTTTCAGTAACAATTTTGTTCACTATCTGTTTGTCAAAAAATAATTCAAATACGTCCACAATTTCCACCACATTTAGTGTGCCACCATGCGGTCCAACAATGCCCATGAAATGTTCACATTGTCCCTGGTAATTTTCCATACTCTCCCAAACGAAAGCTTGCGTAGAACTTTCATCATTGTCAATGACATCGTGTATCACACTATCAAGCAATGCGCGATCATCTAAGTCGACATCTGTGTCACGTTCCGACTCTGAAGCTGAACTTCCTTCCTCCGAACTGGTTTGAAGAAGAAGTTCAAATTCCTCGTCACGCAACACAGCTGATCGGCTCCTACTTGTGCTGGCCATGGCTATAGGCAAACTGCCTGATTGTATTTATAGAATATAGGGTATTCCTATACTGAACTGTTTGTTTATGGTAGAGCACACAGCCAGTCATTATAAACTTCTCTCAGATGTCAACACTGCGCCTCATCAAAACATGTGGTGCACAGTTACTAGTGGTTCAAAATTCTAATGAAGTAGCAGCACTAATCAAAGTCTCATTGAAAGGTCTCGACTGCTCATTTGAAGCAACATTTCATTTACTTCATTAGTATTCCCCAAGATGGAAACATATAGACGGAAATAGAGCGCTGTACTTGGAGAGTTACAAAACTTCTTCAAAGAATTCAACTGTAATAAAAATACCGCACGAAGTTCAAAGTGGGACAACGACTATACGAAATGATAGCTCGAAATAGCACCAAGGTTGGCATTGAAGGGTTAAGTTACTAGTTACAAATATCTCTGATGTTCCATCTAACATGTAACACTCCTTTAAAACTTTGCTTAAAACTTACCACATACATATAAACAATGAGTCTTTTAAACCTGTTTAAAACCACATTGTACACTACACGTTTCAACCGTCATCAGTCATCACTTATGGTTTAAACACACAATGCAGCAGGATGAAACTTTCAGCACAACGAAAAACACAAATGTGTTATGGGACTACACATCAAATATTAGAAGTGACATACACAAGCACAGCAGTCTCCACAAACAGTTTTAAAACACCTAATGATGACAAATGACGGTTGAAACATATAGCATACAATGTCGTTTTAAATAGGTTTAAAAGACTCATTGTGCATATGTAGTAACTTTTAAACAAAGTTTTAGAGGAGTGTTGAATATTAAGACAGAATATCAGAGATATTTCCAATAAACAATGTGCAACACGATGCTACAATATAACCTTGGATAAGTTATATTAATCAATAAAACTCTGTAATGGACCAAAAGGAAGGAGGTACATCAATTAAATAGTAAGCACAGAAGACAAAATTTTGGACCTGACACAGAAAGGTACAAGCTAGTGAACAACTGCTCAACAGTTCCGTGGGCTTTGAAGGCTTCAGAAGGAAATGCTGCACCGAAGGGAAACAAAAAATGCCATAAAACAGACACTGAATCAGACAATATCCGTTCTGAAACGCTTCCACAAATGTCATGCAGTGGACAATGCAGTTACCAGGCCAGTACTCAACAATGTGACTACAGACACAAACATGGAACATCTTTACACTGTTTCCTGTGTGGAAGCAAAGGTGGCCAATATAGATAGACAGGTTGCACTCTATATTGCATGCTGATAACTCATCCCTTCTTTCTCTTCTCCTGTTTCTGTGTGTGGGGGAAGGGGGGGGGGTTGAAAAGTATACAGTCCATCAACAGAGTAAAGGATGGATCCAACCCACACAACACACAGACTCAAAACTGAATGCATTTCAGATTCAACATATATATGGGAAATATATCAAACATCAACATTATACAAATATATTAAAAATGATGATGACTTTCCTCTGAAATATGGGTGAACTTCTAATGAACCATATGACATTACATCCCAGAAGATGCGATCCTCCATAGACGTCTTCTCTTTCCCATTTCCTACTGTTGACCAAACACAAAACACCCAAACATATCATGAAATTTACTCCATACTCATGAGATAGCAGTGATGGGCTACAGGCTGGATGGCCAGGGTTCCATTTTCAGCAAGGACAAGAGATTTTTCTCTTCTCCACAGTGTCCAGACTGGCTGTGGGGCAGAACCAGCTTCCTGTCCAATGTGTACCTGGGGCTCCTTCCTAGGGAGTAAAGCAGCCAGAGCATGAAGCTGACCACTCACCTCCATCTAGTGAAAAGGTCAAGAATACTAGAGTTATACCTCCATTTGTCTGTATGTCTTCATGGCATAGCACTTGATTAGTTAAGCATAGAACACTTTACTTACCACATACAAATGTGAATATGTATGGGAGCCATGACTGCTAAAGTGATGTGTAAGTATTGCGGTGGAGCTTTGGGATGTGCTTCAAATGCTTATTTTTAAATATCTCCTCTCTAATTACATCAGAAAACTTTAGTTTCTTAATTTAAGTGTTATTCCTTGTTTTGATCTCAGCTACTATATACCGTAGTACCGACAAGAAAAGCAACCATATTACAGGATACTTCTGCCTCTATTGCACATATGCAGAAAAACAGAACACAGAGGTTTCACATGTCTGCAACAGGCCACTAGTTCCAACATAATTTGGCTTGACTCTGGCACTTTGTGACAGGTATATGGTGAAACAAATGGGTCTGCAAGTTCAGACATTTGCATGTCACCAGTAACTAAGCATAAGGTCATAACCACATTTGCATGTCACCAGTAACTAAGCATAAGGTCATAACCACATTTGCACGTCACCAGTAACTAAGCATAAGGTCATAACCACATCTGCATGTCACCAGTAGTTAGTTATTTAGAGAGGGTGGGTTTCCCCATGCACCGCGACCAGTTTGATCTACTGTGCTTCCCTCTATGATATTCTACCAGTCTCTATACCCTACCGATAAATGGTGCATACCATCAGTCCCGCCGAGCAAGCGAGTTCAGCCACTTGCTTAGCGGTATCTATAATGCTACCCCCATCTATCAGAGGCCTTAGAGACTATTGTTGGGCGGGAAACGTCCTGGAATTTGGCTCAGTGATCCCCTTTGGGGATATGAGGTTCTTTTACATGCCGTAAAGTTACGACACGGGACACAGAGCTTAAAGTCCCTCCCGGAGGACTCGTTCCCTGAATTTTTCCGCCCTTAAAAATTCGACGACCTCTGCCGCGTATTTGAACCCGCGTACCACGAGTCATGAGGTGGAAACGTTACCTCTAGACTACGGAGGCCGCTATGTCACCAGTAACTAAGCATAAGGTGTTCATCACGATTTGATAAATATCTCTTTGTACCTGCATTTAAATTTCTTTCTTCTTCTTCCTGTTTTGATATTTTCGCTTTTATGTGAGTTGTCTTATTGAATCTAAATCACATAACTGTACGCACCTGAGGAGAGTGGCAACTACAAAGTCTGAAGAAGTTGTTTATATTCTGGAACAACACAATTGTGAGCCTGCGGAGGTGGATTCTTAATGAGGTAATCATTAAGATAAAGTGGAGGCACGCATGGTATCCTCTTCTTCACCAACACAGACAGGTCAACTGGCAGAGATGCTTTACCCAGCTCGACAAAACAATGAGTGGCTTCATCAAGATTGCTGCAATTGAAACAAATGAAGATACTACATGAACCTAATGAAACTGCGGTTGTACATTGAACTGACCCATATGGCTCGAATGCACTGACCCATATGGCTCGCCATGACCACACCAACAGGCCAGACCAGTCTGGAAATTAAGTTTCTCCTATTTGGATCCTGCTCATAAATGAGGAAGACAGCAAGTTACAGGACAGTTTGGTTTGACTTACCACCCTACTTTTGCGTTCTTTCATGGTATTTCCTTCTTTCCTGCATTATACTGATCAGTTTGGTTGCCTCATCTAATTACCAATTTTGTCATTTGTTCACCCCCATTTCGGAGTCAGGACAGCTGTTGGTATAGAAACAGGTTACAGGTTGGACAACCTGGGTTCAATTCATGGCATATGCAAGAGTTTTCTCTCCTCTATAGCATCTAGACAGGGTCTGGGGGCTGGAAATAACAGGAGACTGGAGAAAACAGCATAAAGAGGAGCTTCAGAATTCCTACTCTTCACCAGACATTATCATAATGATCTAATGGAGGAGATGAGAAGCCTGTAGCATGGACAGGAAAGAAGAGAAACACATAGAAAATTCTGGTCAGAAAACCCGAGGAGAATAAACCACTTGAATACTTAGGTGGATCAGGGAAATAGGGTGACTCAATATTGATTCAACTGATTTGGCTTGGGACAGGGAAAAATTGCGGTATCTTGTGAACACGGTAATGAATCCTCAGGTCTCAGGTTCCAGAAAGGCTGCAGAAAGTTTAGTAAGAAAACCTGAATGGAGGTGATATTGAAGAGCTAGGCATAGATGGGAGAATACTAAAATGTACTTTAAAGCAGTTGGATGGGTGGTGTGGAATGGATACATCTGGTTCAGGGTAAGGCCTAGTGACAAGCCCTTGAGAATGCAAAATGTTGAGAATTTCACTGCATGAGGAATGGGTAGCAATCAAGAATGATTGTTTCCCATGTAGTGAGTTAGTTAGTTACCTGAAGTCCACCAAACGACCTCCTCCTGCAAGAATAAGTCTTTTGAACGGCTCTTCTCTCTCGGCAGAAATACACACTGCAGCTCTCATGCCCATGAACGCACCAGTCATTTCTCCTGTCAATACACAACGCCAGCGGTGTGCCGAGACTGCCAGTTCATGTTCAAGAGAACAGGGTTTCAGATCACGCATCAGTGACACAGCAGATGGATTTCCCCATTCAAACTCATCCTCCTGAAACAATTTGTTGGCATCACTGACTGTATCCAACATAAGATGTGGAAAACATACAGACTGAAATATAAAATATAACAGAATATGCACTGTAAACAAGTAAAAAGACACTGCCACTATATATGTATATAACAGGCTGAAGGTTTCTATTCTCTAACTAATTATGTCAGAAGTAGTTATGAACAGGAGGAGAAGATGACAGCAATAAGGAGCAATGGAAGTCATGCTGCGCTGGTAATACTGTGTTAAATTTTGCTGAAAGAAGTTCACAGTACAGCTCCAGACAGGAGCACCATTCAGTGCATACTGTTGTTCTGTCAAGTTTAGTATCCATGTATAAATGTAGCTGCTTTTCCAGAACTTCTCAAGCTTACAGCATAAATATTCAGTGAAATGATTATTTTGAAGTGTCACTCAGGGCTGTAATGTGGATCACAATGAAATAAGTACAGACTGATACCCCAACTTTCAATAGGCTTTATTCTGGATTTTAACCATACTGTTGAAGTACCTGTATAAAATTGACAAGGAAGATCATAGTATTCAGACAAGATGCAAAACAAGTCATATAATTCACTTAAGATACAGCCACAATAATCGCTAACTTCACAAAGCTGAGCCCTTCTCAATAAGTCGCCAGTCACGCAGCTACTAAAGAACTTCCCAACTTTTTATGGAATCCGAAAGGTTCATTGCCATGTTCAGAAGAGCCCTCCACTGGTACCTATCTTGAGCCAGATCAATCCAGTCCATACCATCCCATCCTATGTCTCTAAGATCCATTTTAATATTATCCACCCACCTACATCTTGGTCTTCCTAGTGGTCTCTTTCCTTCTGGCTTTCCCAGCAATATCCTATATGCATTCCTCTTCTCCCCTACACAAGAAATCGTTAAAGTATAATATTCTGTTCATAAGTTGCACAGCTTTGAAGTTTCAAATAAATTTAAAGAAAAAAGAGTCTAAAGAGGGAATATTTACAAAAACTAAATTGTCATTACAGTGAAATCATTGGTTTGGGAGAGAAAATTCTTGTTCTCCTCTCAATTCTCAAATTGTTTCACTCTGACACAAGGGATAAAGAAAGGGAAGAAAGGGAGATGGGGGGGGGGATGTAAGCTTGTACAGTTAAGGTCTTACCTTTGTTTTGACGTCAGAAACTTGATGTTATAATTAAACTGTATTTAAGGTATAAGCAATAACAGATGATGATATTTGTTGATGAATTTCCAATGGACATTACACCAGTAAAATTGAAAGGATTCTGACGATGGTGTATACTGTACTTCTTTTGGACTTCATCCATTGTCTGGTATGTAAAAGACAAAAGACCATGTTTCGGAGACTGGAGACAGATCCAGTCTCCGAAACATCGTGATCTTTTGTCTTTTACATACCAGACGATGGATGAAGTCCAAAATAAGCCAAAAGAAGTACATTACACCAGTAAGCCAAAAGTTGCAACAAAAAAGGGCTAATAAACCAGTGTTCAAACATGTGTTACGCAGATGCATTTGGTGCAGATAGACTCTGATCCATGTTATGGATGCCATGGCAAAACACAAAGTGATAATGGGCATTAATATCTGTAGCTCCAGCTATATAGGATTCAATGGTAGGATGATTTGAGAATAATTAAGTAGAAAGAATCTGGAAGGAAGTGGTAGTGGTCTGATTTGAGATAGTTTCCTGGTATCTGCCTGGGAGGACTTAGGAAAACCATGAGAAACCTGTCAGGATAGCCCATCTCCAGGCAAAGATTTGACTGCAAAGCGTAATACAGCGAGACAGTGAATGCCGAAATGGTAGCTGCTGCAGCTCAAACCTGACAGCCAGTCTCACACAAAATGTATCTTACCATTGTAAGGAAATGTGTTCATCCATACCTGGATAAAACGTTCTTCTTTCTGGCTAGCATCCAAGTAACCCTTGTGTAGCACCCACTTTCCTGATGCAATGCTGGCCAAAAGCTTCTCACTTCGAACTGGGCGACTACACACAAGATGAGTTGCGGAGGGATCAAATGTAGACTTGGAAGTCACCTCACCCCCAAGAGACACGACGATTGATTCGTAATAGTCACGATCCTGCATTGCATGATGAGGGAACACAGTCAAGTAAGTCTGATACACTGTAACAGTACACACTCTCCAAGGTGCGACGTAGACAACTTTTAACTGCAGTAATTTTCCCAGTCATGCAATACCATAACTTAACTGTGTCACTTTATAACTCCATGGAGGAACTGATCATCACTTACCAGGTAGGAAACTTCACATCTTTTATCGAACCAAAAGGCTCTTTGCCATGCCCACAAGAACCCACCACTGGACCACATTCTGAGCCATGAAACATATCCAATCCACGTCCTCAAATACAGTTTCCTTAAAATCAACTTTAATATTATCCTCATATAAATTCCCACATATTCCAAGCGCTCCTTGCCTTCTCATTACCCCAAATCCATGGACTGGGGTCCTTCCTGTTAAAACTAATTCAAAGTCAGTCAGTCAGCCAGGAGATTCCAGGCCAGTTGACCCTACCTTGAACCAGATTAATCCAGTCCACAATCTCTCACCCTATTTCTCTGAAATCAATTTTAATATTATTCTCCCATTTGTGTCTACCTTTCCAATTTGTCTATTCCCTTCAGGTTTTCAAACCAAAATTTTGTTTGTTGGTTTCCTCTTCCCCAACTATTTCACCATCTTTGGCTTCATTACCCTAACAGTACTGGGCAGGGAGTACAAGTCATGAAGCTCCTCATTATGCAGTTCTCTACAGCCTCCCTTGCTCTCCTCCTCAGGTCCAAAAACTCCTACTCCCCTCCAGGTTTTCCATCTAGGCTTTTGTATGTATTTCTGATCTCTCCGTTGCATGCAACATATCATACCCATTTCATTTTACTTTACTTACTTGAACTAACAGTAAGTGGTGAAGGCTAGGAATTACACAGCATTTCTTAATAGTCTTCCCTTCATACTCTTCTCACTTCTTTTCCTAGGTTACAACATGTAATATGTGCAGAAAGAATGAACACTAAGACCAGTTTCCATAGCCCCATGCCCTTGGGATATGCTAGTTATGTGGTGATGTCACAACAAGTGACACACAGAAAGGTATGATTTTGCCTCAGGCAATGGCAACACTGTGGGGGCATGCAGTAGTATATTTGGTTGACGCACTATGCTACAAGCTGGAAGGTCACAGGTCTGATTCCTGATGAGGTCACTGAATTTTTCAGCTGAATTAATCCTTCCAGCCACACTATGGCCGTGGAGTTGACTCTGCCTCCAACAAGAATAGTACAAGGAATATTCCTGGTGTGTAAGGCTGATAACCTCAACACCATCTGTGAGCTGATTGTCTACAAAATGTGGGATNAGAATAGTACAAGGAATATTCCTGGGGGTAAAGGGTGACTGGCATGTAAGGCTGACAACCTCAACACCATCTGTGAGCTGATTGTCTACAAAATGTGGGAGCCTCAACATCTCGCAATCCTATGGGCCTCCATGGCCTGTTACAGGGGTAGCTTTACCTTCATCGGCAATACTGTTCATTCTGAAGGAATGTCTTACCTTACTCAATTTGCACTCTTAAAGTGAATGTGGCAGTTGTGATGACACAGGACTGCCAAATAAACAAACTATAAAGATAAATTTACAAATACAGAACTAAAGAAAGACATTAATTAATTCATATCCGCGCAACATGCTGCAAAACATTTTCATAGTGAATAGAACTACATCCTCATTTCCACATTGGTGTTCCCCAAACCTTAACCTAATTACCCCCTCCCTTCCCCAGCTGCAGAAATGGAGAGGGGATGGTGTGACTGTTCAGTTCACTTACCACAATGCCAGACAACATGAACTTGTACATCTGCTGACCGCAATGGGATTTCTGTAACATGAGAGAAAGGAAGCAACTATAAATCACAAAGTACTTGACCCTGTGTCTAAGCGCCTAACTATGACAGTGTACAGAGGGAGTGGTGATGCAAGTCCATATCTAAGACGTTGTAACCTTAGCATCAAGTGAGGGTGAGGGTGAGTGGTCTGTTCAACCCTTTGAAGCCATCTAATCTAAATGACATGAATACCTCACAGGAAAAACATTGTCTCCAAATGGTTAATGCTGTTCAGGGAAATAACTGCTGCTTACTTGGGGGGGTATTCTGTGTCCGTAAAATTTGCAGGCTGTGTAGCAGTGAATGACAGAATCATAGACAAAGTAACAATGGCCTATTTGAGGTACTATTTTGGCATCTGCACAAAGGGACTGAGGAAAACTACAAAAAATTGTGGTCAGGATAGCTAGTGTCCTGGCCAAGATTTAAACTAAGTACCTCCTGAATATAAGTCTAAAGTGTTACCTGTAGACAAACCTGTTCAGTCCCTTACCCTTACCCGTTTCTGTCCGTTAACATCTATAGGGTCGTCCCAACCAACCAGTCCTTGTGATTCCTTTCTCAAGTCTTCTGGAACATAAAAGCAATTTAAAATACAATTATGTTAAAAAGAAACTCTGTGTAGCTCAACAATAATACAAAAGTGGTGCTTCGGGCTTCCCCATCTATGTCTACAGCCGTATTCCCTTCTGGCCCAAGTGCTGGTCAGTAGTGAAGGTTATCACTACCGACATCTGTGCGAATACAAAAACTACATGACAGAAGGGGAATTCAGTGAAATATGACGAAGATACACATCGATACACTTTTGCCAACGGCGTTGCCACGACACGAAGGCTCCCTGGTAGGCGGATTCCGGAAGGTCCTTAAGGGTCTGCGTGCAAGCCTCTTTGACGGCACTCAGGGTCCCATGATGATGCCCTTTGAGGGAGGATTTCACTTTCGGGAACAGGAAAAAGTCTGCTGGTGCCAAGTCGAGACTGTAGGGGGGTTGGGGTACCGTCGCGACGCCGTTTTTTGTCAGGTAGTCAGTCACCTTGGAGCAGGTGTGACTGGGTGCATTGTCGTGATGCAATTTCCAATTTCCGGCGATGGCTGGCCTCACCCGATTGACCCTTCTCTTCATTCTTCTTAGCACTTCCAGGTAAAAAGCTCCATTCACTGTTTGCCCCTCAGGTACAAATTCGTAGTGGACCACCCCCTGGGCATCGAAGAAAACGATGAGCATGGTTTTCATTCTGGATTTGCTCATTCGCGCCTTTTTTTGGACGAGGTGATGCCGAAGTGTGCCATTCGGAACTTTGACTCGTACTCGAATATCCAACTTTCGTCTTCCGTGATGATGATGTCCAGAAAGCCGGGGTCTTCCTCAACGCGTTGCAGAAGGTCTTCGCAAGCAGCCACTCGTCTCTGCTTTTGGTCGTCCGTCAAGACCTTCGGGACGAGTTTCGCGCAGACCTTTCGCATTGCCAGATCTTCAGTGATAATGGTGTGCACCGTCATCTTATCAATGCCAACACGATCTGCAATCATGCGCACACTTAACTGACGGTCTGAATTGAGTACATCAAGCACACGTTGCATGTTGTCGTCGGTTCTTGACATTGACGGCCGTCCACCGCGGGGCTCATCCTCCACACTCTGTTGGCCACTTTTGAAGAGCTTGTGCCACTTAAAAACTGCAGTTTGTGACATGCTTTCATCCTTGAACACTTGGTGAATCATGCCCAACGTCTCCGTACCCGATTTCCCCAGTCCAACACAAAACTTGATGGCGTACCTCTGTTCAATCGTTCGCTGCATTCTGCGCTTGCACCGACTCACTCGACAGGGGTCTACTGAAAACACGGCCTGGCCTCTACGAACGCGCTCAGGCGAATGGCGCTTGGAGCGTGTTAAAGGTTAGACCCCCACTACCACGCCTGCGCGGTGCGAGCTTGCTGCGGTGTACAGTCACGTAAGGGAAAGATTTTTCCCGATACTTTTTATACGGATGAAAATAAATAACAAAATATCACTGTAGCACCTTCATTTAAAAACTATGAAAAGACAATCAAATCACCCATTGATAGAAGACTCAGAAGTTTTATTCGTTTTGAACGTAACAATGCAGGTTTGAAGAGACTGTCGAGTTTTGTCTGAACAGACAAGTGACTATCTGCCTTCCTAAATGCCACGTGTCTCTTAAAGTATGTACTCAACTGTGAACAGAATTTTTCATATTTTGATCCACATTATCCAACATCTGGATTAACTGTAACCAAATCAGTGAGAGTTTACTGCATATCAAACAATCAAAATAACATATGTTTGCTGAATCTAATGCGTATCTTCAGGCATCAGCATTTAGGAACATCATATATTGAAGCAGCCCCAATATTTCAACACATACACTGCACTTGCCATCTTCAGGAAGAATGAGGTGAAAAAAAAAGAAGAA